CCAGGAAAAAGACGTAATTATATTAAGGAGGAATCCAGGGGAAACTAGGCCGTCAAGGACAAGGACAGCAGAGAGTCACCGAACTCAAGATGAAATTGCTCAAGGCTATTTCAGCAGATAGCTATGTAAAGTGCTCTTGATGATACTGTATTCCATAAATATTATGATACAGCGTCCTGGAACATGACTACATGCAAGATATATAAATATATGTCTAGCCCTAGCTACCTGGCAGTCAAGAATGAGGCTTGGAGGCTTGGAAGATGGTTGTTTGAGTGGTTGAAAATGAACTAGAAACATTAATATTTGTCAGTATGTCTTCTAAGCATAAGGCCCAATGAATCTTAAACATATAGGGGGGAAATAAAGTGAAACTAACGCTTCAATTGTTTCGAAGCGTTTCTTGAGAATTTCGAGTGAATTCGCAATGCTAGCGAGCTGATCGTGTTCGTTATTGCTCTTGGGGTGGACGCAGCAGATGATCTTGAAGAGTCCTGCCAGGGAGAACTCAATAGAACCTTCGTCGTCCGTCTGCTGGTCTCTGGTGAGGAATCCAAGGAAACCTTCCTTCTTTTTCATCTTCTTGGCTTCTTCCGCTGCCTTTCTCTCTGCTTCCAGCTCCTATTGTGGCCACCGAGCACAACAAAAATCAAACATAAAAATATTAGTTATTAAAACCTGTTAACATTATCCTTTTCTTCATTATTTCAAATGGCTACTGTCAAAATATATTTTTTATTGTTAATTTCAAACAAAATTCACTCATTTAAAAAAAATGAACTACAATATAACATTGTGCTTCATTACTTAGTTTTGTTAGGAATACAATAGTCAAAATTGGTATGTGATTTCTACACGTCTGCTGCATGCAACACAAAGATTCTGTTAATATTGTCTACGTCTGAGAAGGTATACATGCTACCGCTAAGATGTTAGTTCAACAAACCGAAATGTAAATTTTTCCATTAACAAGTCATGCAGCATGCTAAACACAAACTGTAAATATTTCATGCACTCGCTTTCTAAGCACATTTATTATGCAGCTGACAGACAAAATCACCCATTACAGACAGCCGAAAAATATTAATAACTTTGGCGAGGATAAATTTGCTTCATTTCTGCCCTTGTTAGTATACCTTCACTCAGAGTAGTACTGTCGCTGCTGAGACAACTGTAAACACATGTATCTGGGCTAGCAACACTTTTTTTTTTTTGCTGTTGTTTCACGTTATTCTTGTCACTGTGCTTTACAAGTCTCATATCTTTTACAAAATATATTTTAAACGTTTTCCAATATCTTTCAAGTATTTTGCCATATTTTTCATTTATTTTAAACATATTTTATGCATTTAATTTTTTACGACATATTTCACGTGTTTTACAATATATTTCGTATGTTTTACCCCCTCAAGGAAGGTTCCTTGATGTTGGTGAGGGGCTCTTGATTTAGGGAATTGGATCTGTGCTCCAGTTCCCCGAATTAAGCCTGAATGCCTTCCACATCCCCCCCCCCCCAGGTGCTGTATAATCCTCCGGGTTTAGCGCTTCCCCCTTGATTATAATAATAATAATAATAATCGTATGTTTTACGATGTTAGTAGACAAGATGATGCTTTTCTATTAATGTTTACTTCTCTCACACATACAACACAACATATGGCAGGTTCCAGAAAAACAGGAATCATTCCTCAGTCCTGTTATCTACGAGACACAGCCTGGATCCATGTCTCAACACCTCAAAAAGTAAAAAAGACATATTAGAGAGTACAAATTAATTCTCAACCATTGGAAATAATGCAACACTGAATATAAGGCCTGTATAACAAGTGGACACACACACACACCTGGCGGGGTCAGGAGCTTTGACTCGACCCCTGCAACCTCAACTAGGTAAGTACAACTAGGTGAGTACACACACACATACACATAACACAACACACACACACAACACACACACACACACACACACACACACACACACACACACACACACACACACACACACACACACACACACAACACACACACACACACACACAACACCACACACACAACACACACACACACACACACACCACACACACACACAACACACAACAACAACCACACCCCACACACAAACAACACACACACACACACACACACACACCACACACACACACACACACATGTTACACATGTTAGGAAGTATTTCTTCAGTCATAGAGTAGTCAAGCCGTGGAATAGCCTAGAAAGTGAAGTAGTGGAGGCGGGAACCATACATAGTTTTAAGGCGAGGTATGATAAAGCTCATGGAGCAGGGAGAGAGAGGACCTAGTAGCAATCAGTGAAGAGGCGGGGCCAGGAGCTATGAATCGACCCCTGCAACCACAAATAGGTGAGTACACTCACACACACACACACATACACACACACCTGCACACCTACACACCCACAACAGGCCTAGTGTCTAATCGACATGTGCCTTGGACAAAATGGTAACTAACACACACACACACACACACACACACACACACACACACACACACACACACAGGAGAGGTTTTCACAACAAGCCGACAGGTAAGTCAATACGCTTCTGGAGATCGTTGTACCTCTCTGGTCTTTTTCTTCATCTTGGTGGCGACCTCGCGAGTGCCCCAGGACACATTGTTGAGGTTATAGCAGGAGTAGATCTGCAGCAGGAGGTACATGGATGGCACCACCATGTAGTAGACGAGGCCGCAGGGCAGGCAGATTAACTCGTTCGGATGTAGAAGTCCTGTCACGACGAAAGATGTCACCGTGACCAGGAAGAAAATACTGGTGGGGGTGTTCCAGCCCTCCTCGGCGAAGTTGAGCAACATCCCCACCAGCACCACGATCATGACGAGGGCGTACACGGCCGTCAGTACGTACGCTACGGAGATCTGCACGCCCAGCGTGGTTGAGAGCGAGCAAGAAAAGGATGAGGGTGTTCGTTAATGGCAGAAGTTAGATGCTGTGTTTGTGGCAGGGGGTTTGCCGGCGTGTTAGTGGCAGGGGATTTGCCGGTGAGTTAGTGGCAGGAGGATATCTTCTGTGTTAGTGGCAGGGAATAGATGGTGCATTGGTGGTAAAGTGGCTGATTTACTAATGACAAAGTGGCCGATGCGATAGTAAAGTGGCAGCTGTGTTAGTAACAAAGTTTATGTTGTGTTAGGAAAGGAAAGGTTGATGGGTTAATGGAAGGTGACTGCTGTGGTAGTGACAAAGTGGCTGCCGTGTTAGTGACAAAATGGCCGCTGTGTTAATGACAAAATGGCTGCTGTGTTAATGACAAAGTAGCTGCTGTTTTAGTGGCAAAGTGACTGCTGTGTTAGTGACACAGTTACTGCTGTGTTAGTGACAAAGTGGCTGCTGTGTTAGTGACAAAGTGGCTGCTGTGTTAATGACAAAGTGGCTGCTGTGTTAGTGGCAAAGTGGCTGCTGTTTTAGTGGCAAAGTGGCTGCTGTGTTAGTGGCAAAGTGGCTGCTGTGTTAATGACAAAGTGGCTGCTGTGTTAGTGACAAAGTGGCTGCTGTGTTAATGACAAAGTGGCTGCTGTGTTAGTGACAAAGTGGCTGCTGTGTTAATGACAAAGTGGCTGCTGTGTTAGTGACAAAGTGGCTGCTGTGTTAATGACAAAGTGGCTGCTTTGTTAGTGACAAAGTGGCTGCTGTGTTAGTGACAAAGTGGCTGCTGTGTTAATGACAAAGTGGCTGCTGTGTTAGTGACAAAGTGGCTGCTGTGTTAATGACAAAGTGGCAGAAACAATTGTGACAGAAACAAGACGAATCAGAAATACATCTCAGCATCCACAAACACAAACAGGGCCAGGAGCCGTAATCTGACACCCTCTCCCCCCTGCAACCACTAATAAGTGACCACATCGCTGAAGAACATCAGGCCAGTAACATCGACTGCTTATACGAGGCTGGCCTAGGGCCAGCACTCAGGAACTGCCGTGCCCATGCACTTACTAGACTACTGTTGTCTCCATGCACTTGCTAGACCACTGTTGTCTCCATGCACTTACTAGATCCCTGTTGTCTCCATGCACTTACTAGGTCACTGTTATCTCCATGCACCTATTACATCACTGTTGTCTCCATGCACTTACTAGACTACTGCTGTCTCTATGCACTTACTAGATCACTGTTGTCTCCATGTACTTACTATACTACTTTTGTCTCCATGTACTTACTAGATCACTGTTGTCTCCATGCACTTCCTAGACCACTGCTGTACCCATGCACTTCCTAGACCACTGATGTTCCCATGCACTTACTAGACCACTGATATTCCCATGCACTTACTAGATCACTGTTGTCTCCATGTACTTACTATACTACTTTTGTCTCCATGTACTTACTAGATCACTGTTGTCTCCAGGCACTTACTAGACCACTGTTGTCTCCATGCACTTCCTAGACCACTGCTGTACCCATGCACCTCCTAGACCACTGATGTTCCCATGCACTTACTAGACCACTGATATTCCCATGCACTTACTAGACCACTTATGTCCCCATGCATTTACTACACCACTGCTGTCCTCATACACTTACTAGACCACTGTTGTCCCCATGCACTTATTCTGCCATAGCATAGATACAACTAACAAACCTTTTTAGTTTTCTTGGTGGCAATCTCTCGCGTACCCCACGAGACATTGTTAAGATTGATGAGAGAATAGATGATGAGCAGGAGGTACATAGAAGGGATGGAGAGCAGGTACAATAGACCGGGGATAATACATTTGAACTCCTGCGGATGCATACACGCAGCGATGAAGAAGGAGCCGGAGAGGGCGATCAGGAAAATAGCTGAGGGCGAGCCAACACCATCCTCGCCCAGCTGGAGTGTGGTACCCACGATGACAGCCATCATGATCAAGGCGTAGCTGGCTGACAGGATCTGGGCCACGATGAGCTGTTGTGGCCACGGTGTAGGGAGGACAGGTTGTGGACGCCACGTACAAAAACAGGGACACGAGACAAGGGACGTGGTTATACAGAGGCTCCCACAGCCAACACAGAACATGTTACACACACACACACACAACGCGCAAGTGGGCAAAAGGAATTAACAGAACACAGAAATGCACATTTATCTTCAAGACTTAAAATATAAAATGCTCTTGAAATTAACCAATAAATACATTACAATTACTTTAGGTAAGAAGAAACTTTGCATATATACGAAATTGTAATTAAACTTTTATAATATACAAACTTACGCTCATATGATCTGCTTGATCTACAGAATAATAATAATAATAATAATAATAATAATAATAATAATAATAATAATAATAATAATACTGTACCTGGATGCTAGACTTAAGGACGAAACAAGCAACCATGAACAAGAGGATTGGGATGATGTTGTACTGGAAGGAGAGCCAGTTGCCGATCCTGAAGGCAGCCACAAAAGCACCCACCAACATGAGGAAGATGGTGCCAGGGCCCAGGATGGTGCCAGCCATCAACATAGTCTGCAAGGAATGACATTATTTATTACATAGTAAAGACGGATACATGAATAAAACTACATGATAACAAGACTTACGAAATCGTGATACCACGAATGGAAACAAACCGCGGTACAGGTGGGGTTACAACCCATAGTGAGTCGTAAAACTCCAGGCCAGTGCGTAAACCACTGGCCATTGCGTAAACCACTGGCCTAGTGGTTTACGCACTGGCCTGTAGCTTAACTCACATACCATGGGTTCTAACCCCATGGTATGTGAGTATGTAAGGTATCCCATCCTTCTGAGAAAACTTGTCTATAAAGTGAACGTCGTTACTTTGATACAATGTTGCTTTCCCGATTTTTGTTTTGGAGAGTCTTAATCGTGTTCATCCGGCCGCTGTTACATCCAGAGAACATTTATCACTTGAGGTCTGTTAGGGTTTGTTAATTTTAGTTAATTTACATTTACCTAATCTACCTTTAACAGCATAACTAGAGAAGTTAAGTCAAATTTGTGGCCAACCATCGTTGTTGTAATGCACGTATACCTATGAGGGACAGGTTGCATGCAACGAAGTAGTGAGTAGCACTGCTGTACCTGGTGAGTAGCACTGCTGTACCTGGTGAGTAGCACTGCTGTACCTGGTGAGTAGCACTGCTGTACCTGAGTAAGTAGAGTCACTGCTGTACCTGGTGAAATAGCACTGCTGTACCTGGTGAGTAGCACTGCTGTACCTGGTGAAGTAGCACTGCTGTACCTGGTGAAGTAGCACTGCTGTACCTGGTGAAGTAGCACTGCTGTACCTGGTGAAGTAGCACTGCTGTACCTGGTAAGTGAGCAGCATTTCCGTACCTGGTAAGAAATATAAGGCAAAGAGATGTTGTCGTTGACTTCGATGGTCTTCTTGTAGTCCTGCAGCAGATCCATAATGTTGGCCATGGTGGAGGGCACCCACCGTCTCCGCTGGTTGTAGAACTCGGAGAAACCTTCAGGGGCGTGAGTGTAAGCGTCGGAGGCGGCGCTGTACTCTACACGGTAACCTCGTTGCAGTAACAGCGTGCACAGCCATCTGTCTTCCCCTGCAACACACACACAGTCATTCCTTCATTCCTGCAGTTCTTTTATAACATTATTAAAGTATCTGAGAAAATAATTTGTTCGCTATATGGAAATATCAGTAAGAACAAAAATGTGTTAATCTGAATAATTAAACACGAGGACATAACATTCACAACTGGTCATAACTGACCAGTTATTAATGTTGTAGGATGCATATTTTATATAACATATAAATGCAAAATAACCACAAGGGAGATGAATGATAGCTCTAGAACTTTCGTGTTGCAATAAACACATCATCAGGAGCTTACTATGTTGTAGAAATAGAAAAGGAAATCCAAATAGAGCAGGAAATCCAGAAATAGAAAAGGAAATCTTGCTCTATTTCCGCAACACTGCAAGCTCAATTGCCCTCAAAGATTTCTTTAAGTCTTATGATACACTTAATAATAATAAAAATTTGCGCTTTACTAAAGCAGATAAAATGAATAGCAATAGTAATTATGAAAGAAAATGATTACCAAGAAAAAATGAATAATCTCTCAGATGATACTGAAACCTATTCTAAACTTAGAAAGACTTCCCTAGAAACCGTTACAGCAATTTCAATAAAACAATAAAACTTCTACTGAAAGGCAAAGATGAATTAATCAAACAATTTACTTCCACTAATCCATCTTTACCTTACATGTATGGACTAATAAAAACACACAAACCAGGGAATCCAGTCAGACCAATTATTAGTCCATAGGATCAGTTTCATATAAATTATCCAAATGGCTTGTTGACATTTTGAGCCCTATTGTTGGCAAAATTTCTAACTTTAATGTTAAAAACAACATAGATTTAGCTGATAAATTAAGCTCTTTGGCTGATTTAAATGATTTTAACATAGTTCTGATGTTACTTCCTTGTTTACGAAAGTTCCTGTTGATGATTTATTAAGTTTATCTGAAGAACTCGTTAATTATGATTTACCATTGCCAGTTCCTACCATCATTAAACTTATTAAACTTTGCATTGTTGATGCAAAATTTGTATTTAATGATAAGTTTTACACTCAGAAGTTTGTATGGCAATGGGAAATCCTCTTTCACCTGTTCTTAGTAACCTATACATGGAATTTTTTGAAACAAGGTTGCTTAACACAATCCTCCCAATAAAGCCAAATGGTTCAGATATGTTGATGATATTTTTGTGTTTTATGCCCAAGAATGTAGATATACACCATTACCTTTTTAAATTAAATACCTTAGCCCATTCTATAAACTTTACTGTTGAGTTTGAAGAAAATAACTCATTGCCTTTTTCTAGATGTTTTAATTATTAAGGGTAATAATGAATTCAAATTTAAATATACAGAAAACCTACAAATAACTGTTCCTATGTCCACTATTATTCTTCACATCAAGATAGAGTTAAACTGTCTGTTTTCTCATCAATGTTTTTGAGAGCTTTACGAATTTGTAGTCCAGAGTTCATAGATGAGGAAATATCCAAAATTTATGAAATAGCTAATGATTTGAAATACCCGAGAAACGTAATTGATAAATCTTTTAAAATTGCTAGAAATACTTTTTACAATCCAAAAAGGGCAACCAGCCTTATTCAACTAAAAATATGTTGGTTCTCCCTTACCATGAAAACTTGGTTGATATGCCTTCTCTTCTTAAGACTTTTAATATTAAAGTTGTATTTAAAAAACTTGATAAAGTAAAAAAACTTTTGATAAAGAATTCCCCCCAAAATGCTGACGGATGTGTCTATAAGATTCCTTGTAAAATTTGCGATAAAGTTTATTACGATCAAACTGGTAAAAATCTCGAACTAAGATTAAAACAACATAAATATAGCATTAGAACTGGACAAGGTTCCAATGCTCTATTTATTCATGTGAGAGATTTTAACCATCCAATTGATTTTCAAAAAGTTGAGAAAGTTGTATCAAGCAAGTCCATGGTCGACAAGATTATAATTGAATCGTGTTTCATAAAAAGCATTTTTGACAATACGAATATTTTCTTTGGTTTTTATAAATTAGATCCATTTATAATAAATAGAATTTGGGAAGAATTTAATAATACATTGGACAAATAATCAATTTTAAAATTCTTAATTCTTGGGTAGAATAGTTTGTGGGTTGTGTGAAGGACCTGTCTAGTTGGGGCAGCGGGCCTGCTGCAGTGCTCTCTTTCTTATGAGTTGGGCGTCAGGTGTTGCTTTGTTGTGGGATGTGGTAGTGAGGTGTGGTCTAGACCCTTTATATGCCTTCCTTTGATGCATTGCTTTTATTGTTCCTTGATAATGTGAGTAGTCACGAAAGCGCTTGGAATTTCTCTATTTTTTCACAGTGGTTGTTTTGCATATTCTGAAATCACCTGTTTACTGTGATCTTATTGCATACATATATATTTATTTATTTATTTATTATTCATAAAAATGACAATGCTGACGTTGGCTTGCAAAAAAAATGAGGTTTCATAATTTAGATTCAAATTTCCTTTCTACTTACCCTGATCGTACTGCACATAGTGACGAGCTTGACTAGACTTGGTGGTGTATCTGGCCATGACATTGTCGTCCATGAGAGCCTTCCCTCTGAACAAGGAGAAGCAGCCGGGACTACACAAGACACAGCCGATCATATGCTCAGTGGCCTTCTGCAGCCAATGACCGATAGCGTACTCGAACATCTGATACCACACCATCACACCTGAACACACCGTCAATGTAGGGAAATAATTACCCATTGTACTAAAGTACTGATCACACACACATACACACACAATCTCTCTCTCTCTCTCTCTCTCTAGTTCACGGTTCACAATCTACCGAGAACCATCAGTTAATCAGGAAACCAGTCAGAACATACTGGAGATAGTAGTAGTAGTAGCAGTGACTGAAGTCGAACTACACATTATAGTCGGTCCTCACCAGACAGATAAGGTGTTCTATCTTCCTTTTCATTACTCATTCTCTCTCTCTCTCTCTCTCTCTCTCTCTCTCTCTCTCCCAGCTCTTGGTCTCTCACTCACCAGAGCCGACAGGGTGAATACGTCCACAAGCAGCACCCAGGTTGGTGTTCTTCTTCATGAGATCGATCAGCAGAGCCACAGCGCTCGGGGTGAAGTCGATGTCTCCATCCAGAGTCAACAGGAAAGTGTTCTCGGCGATGACCTCTTTTCTGTCCACTGAGATGGGTTGATCCATCAGTTTGAAGCCCAAGAGGTAGTACATGTACATCACCTGCAATCACATCCAACACGATCAACGAAATGAACACAGAAATTTTAACATATCCTAACGCACGGGCGTCTGCTGAATGATCCACACGGGTTTAGATCTTCACATATATTATAAGTACTAAAGTTAACCTTAGTATTGATTTTTAAATTACTGAAACAGTGTTTCTTGTTAGCTTATGTCAGTAATACATTAAGAATGAAAAGGCACAATACCGTGACTGGAACAATACACAAATAACCCGTACATGGGAGACTCAAACCTATGAAGACGTTTTGGTCCGACTTGAACTATTAACTAGTATATATTCTGTCTCCCTTCCCTTCGCGCCTCTGCGTGACTAGTTAATGATCTGTCTGACCGAAACATCATCGTAAGTTTGAGTCTCCTACTTGCGGGTTATATGTAGTAATGCATCTATATAAAGCCAAATTAATGTTATAATACAATATTTGTCCATTATCAGTACAATTTATAACTGTAGTCCTTGTCCGAGTGATCTCTTGGAGTTCGACCTCACCTGAGACCATCTCTTCTTGTGTCGAATTTTGCTTTTGTCCTTCAAGTGGGCCACAATCTTGGTCTTGCCAGGGAGGGTCCACACAAGACGTCCTCCATATGGAGTGGGGAACTTCTTGGGCGGTCGGATGCGGATGTTGGTCTGATGAACGTGAGTGGCAGCGTCGTCCATCAGATTCACCAGCAGCTTCACGAACTGGTTCACAACATTTTCGTCTTCGTTATCGTCAGCTATTTCGAAGGCGTCGTCGAAGAAGACGTGGGCTGGAAATGTAAAGATTGTATACTGATATGAAAGATTATGTATTTTAAAGATCGGATGGTCAAAAATATTTGCTGGTTGCCATGGATGATTGGTCCTAAGGATTTTTATTTGTAAAGTACGCCTCTGAGTTTTCTTATAATTTCTAAAAGATTTTTACTAGATTTTTAAAAGAAAATCACTGTGGTACTGATGTTATGGTTTCTTACCGGATAACTTTGTATATCAGTCAAATGTTTCAGCTAGAGTTCCAAAATGTTGGAATTCAAAATACAATTATTTTACTCTCAAAGACGAATAAAAATGTTATTTTGCACAAATCACTTAAAATAGAGGAAGCATTCGCTATATTGGTGTTGTGTTGGTGTGTTGGTGTGCACACCAAGAATAAGGTAACCAAAACAGAAGAAAGTGTTTTTGAATAAAAATAAAATTTCGAAAGAGTTTAAGTGATGTAACTGAATATTTCTTACTCTCGAACTCGTAATAATCCAGATCGACGATCTTGAGGTACTTCTGTGCCACTCGGCGAGCAGACTGGTCCTCGTCCATACGAAGGATTGACTTCAACATCTCCATCATCTCTTCCTCGTTCTCGTGCCACATGGTGGCTGTGGCGTAGATGCGGGTGATGTGGTCAGAAGACTTGATCTTGGACGCGTTGTTGTTGGAAGAATCCGTGTGGATGGAGATGGTCTCGTAGTACTGAGAAACCTAAGAGATGCATTGTATTGTTTAATATATTATGCCAGCGCGTTTTGGAGCCGTAAACACAAAACTGAAATAAATACCAGCCAGTGTTACAAATGAATCCATTTGTAGCTAATTACACATCTGATTTCGCACCTCGTTCTCATGCTCGTCAGCGTTGAGGTTGAGATCTTCTGTCTTCACGTCGCCTTCGTCGTCTCGTCGGCGGTTGAGGGCCAGTGACTGGTCGATGAGGAGAGAGTTGTACATGGGCGTGACGAACAGCTTCTCCGTGGAGGCCAGACGCTCACATTTGGGCGTCCATATGTGTAGAGTAATCCATGTCTGAGACAGAAGCCACAGGAGCCATACCCATGCATACTGCCAAAGTAACAGTGATATTAATTACAAGTGAATATACCAACGAAAGGAAGGAATAAAAGACGAACTAGAAGAATTAAGTTAAACAAGCATAGTGGCAAATGGACAATGGAATGTAACTTAGTTAAGTCTCAGACAAGCAGAGGGGTGAGCTGAAAGTGGCCACACGGAGAGTATACACGGTATGATCAAATGTTGAAAATACATCAAATAGAAAGGGACCAGGATGTAATATAGACAACACACTGTCAGTGAGATTATATAGACATTAAAACGCAGATTAAAAAAAAATTAACATCAGCAGGAGAAACACGAGGCCACAGTGTAATTTAAAACGAGCAATGCTAAAAGAACAATAGAAATTATTTCTTTACCGAGTGCCAGACTGCTGCAACGTGATCAATGAGAAGGTAACAACCGCTCTAACTACAGAGTTTTATAATTGAATACTGAAGACGGGAGACCACGAGTGTATCTTTGCTCTTATAATTTCTAATATATAACTAATAAATAGGGAATTATACGTATACACACAATGAAACGTACACGCTTGTTACGATTATATATTAATAAAATAAACAGCAACGAGTGAATTTACCCATGGAAGAGTACGAATAAGATTACTATAAATACTGTAAGTTAGTGCAGAGAGAAGAACCTTACGATTACAATACTCACATCATTGTTCAAGAAGTCGTTGAGAATGTCTCCGTTCTTGCACTCCCAGAAGAGGTACTCCGGGATGACACCGAAAGAGCAGGCGGTGTCGAACCTGAGGCCGCAGGCGGTGATGAGCAGCGAGATGGACACAGGGATGGTCAGGTTGACGGGAAAGGCAAGCTGAAGCCTTGGATGCAGATCTTGCAGGCGAATTTACCTGAGGTGGTCACAATGTTGTTACTCGAAGTATTAAGCACCTTAACTCTTTTCATCCTTGTTTCCATCAGATTAAAGTATTTGTAAACAGACATATTAATGAATATATGCATTCATTAGGTGCGATAACCATCTGTTAAACACGATACGTAAATACTATGTTAACAAAGACTTAGTATCGTTACTCCATGTGCATTCATGAGAATATGGTGTGTATGAAAGCCTCATGGTAAACATACTGTGCACAAGTACGTATGAAAGCCTCCAGGTTAACACTGTGCACAGATACGCAGGAGTTCATCTGATAAACATAATGTGCACAGATAAATACAGAAGCCATTTGGAAAGATGCTGTACATAAGTACGTACAGAAACTCTGGTTAACATTCTGTATATTTATATGCAAGAGACCCATCTAGTAGACACAATATTGCACACAGGTAAGAGACAATTTGTTTACCAAAGATGTAGCAGAGCCAGGCAGTGAGGACCTGAATGAGGAAGACGTAGACGGGGGTGCCGTAGGTGGACATGATGGGCAGGGTGTTCTCCAGGGGTGCCACATTGGGAAAGTCTGGCACTGTGTGTCCTGGCAGCGTCTCTCGCACCTCCGTAACGTTGATGCTGTGAACCCTGATCACCACAACCAAGAGACTCGATTAAGTACTACATAAATCCAAAAAGTGAATGGCATTTAAAGCCTAAGGACTACACGAGGACTGTAACCTGTTCATCATCAGCCAAGAATGACTTAATCCCTAAAATATGGATTAGAATAATCTCGGCTTGTAATCACCGAGAGACATTCCTTTCATTGCATGTATCCTGTGTGAAATGCAAATAGGCATAAAAAATTGTCTTTAATAATATTATTAATTACTTCGTTGCCTGTTTATTATGCCACATTATATTATTTTGCTTGATTTCCCGTTTATTCCTCATTGGGAAAATAATTTTTTAGAAAGTCAAACAGCCATGACAAATGGAACTATCAATTTTTTTATAATTGTCACTGTTCAATGTCTGAGAGTACTTACTAGGTTTAAAAAAATATATTACTGGACCCTCTGAAAACTTCATACTAACCTGAACGCTTTTCCCACGTCAAATATGGCAGAAACATCCTGGAGACGCGTACTCATGGAGATGATCATGATAGTGAAGAAGACCAGACACTTCCACAGGGAGATGAAGACGTAACTGAAGTAGCGGGTCCTCCACAGCCGCTCCTTGATGCCTCCGAAGTACTTGATCACCGCTGCACAATCCGATCAAGGTTATTACATCATCGAAATAAACAAAATGCAGCATTTTATAGTTGTGACTTTTACAATAGCAGTAATCGCACCTCAGATAAACCACCCTGGTTGCGATACCTCTATTATGCAGAACTATAATTTTACAATACAGCGGAAACATATGACAGAAAACTATTGGCAGCACGTCAAGCCTAGTCCAAGTCTTTGTTAACAGTGGTTGTACATCAGATATTGATATAAGAAAAAGGTCATATGCATCGAAATTTATACATATTTCTCTAAAGAACTCACAGAATTTTGAGTGCTTGTCAACGTAGTTCTCCCACCAGCCGAAGGAGGTTAGGAAGATGGCCGGAGGGATTAGCCAGATCCTCCAGTTGTTAGGATCCTTTCCGTGTTCCACGATGGGCCATACCACGAACCCCGTCACTTGGCAAGCCAAAGCCACCAGATCCATTATTACCTTCAACGCTACACGGGACTCTTTCTTCGTGCGCGACAAAAGTCCTGTTGGAGACAAACCACAGCAAACGTGTAGGAAGGTTAGTCACAGACCGACTTGTATCTTCAATTTACTTAGCCTAGCGCATAGTATTTGTATTTATTTTTCTTTGTGTTAAGATTCGCGAGCTAGAGGTGAGCTACGCTGAGAAATACTCACCGAAGAGCCCTGGGATGAAGGCGACGCAGTTGGTGAGCATAGCACCCTTTATGACGTCGAGGTCCGGCAGCACCATGTACACCAGGAGACTCGTGCCCACAGCGTGCATAGTTTCGAACAGCCACACGAAGAAAAAGTCACCGAACGGCGGCTTCTTCCAGGACTGCTCAAGGAAGAAGAACGGATTTGTTTGGTTACGTACAGCATCTTCTTTATCCACCAATTATATCTGACGCATTCTCAATGAAACGAACCAAACATACATACAAACAAGCAAGTGAAGAAGTTCAAAAATGTTCAAAGGTTTGCAACCAGACTAGTACCTGTATTGAGCAGGATACACTATGAACAAAGGTTGGTGAAACTGAATCTGGTGACCTTGGCAGAGAGAAAGACTGGGAAGACATGAGTATGACATACAAAATCTTAAAGGGAATAGATAATGCAGATAAGAAGAGACTCATTGAGTTAGGAGGCCCAGGATCAAGGGAACACTGGTAGATGGAGACGCAGACCATCCATAGGGATATATGAAAGTATTTCTTTGGTCTCTGAGTCGGGATATGATAAGACGCAAGATGACAGTAATCAGTGATACCCATTCCAAGTAGTCCAGAACGAGGGTCCTGGAGCTGAGTCTCGATCCCCCCAAACAATGAATATAATTTGGGTAAGTACACACACATACACACACACACACACACACACACACACACACACACACACACACACACACACACACACACACACACACACACACACACACACACACACACACACACATACACGCGCGCGCGCAGTGGCGAACATGACCATAACGTGTACTTAGCTCTGTGAAGACCTGTTTGCGCGCTCTCTACGAATTGAAGCAAGATGCCCTCCATCGAGCAACTTTACCAACAGCTTAAGGAAGAATTGAGGTTAGCGAAGGTGGAGATTCGGCGACTGACCGAGGAAAACAAGAAGATTCGTAGTAGTCCTCCTGTTTTGAGTCCTCAGGTCAAGAAGGGAAACTGGTCAGTGGCTGGACAGCAGGGAACGAAGTTGACGATCAAGAAGACGAATGGAAAGGTAGAAACGATGAAGAAGAAAGAGACTGCCGTGGAAACTGTTGTGGAAACATCTAATACATTCTCAGTGCTACCCGACGAATGTGAGTCGACTACTGGGAACATCACGACGAACGACACCAAGGAAGGTAAGAATATTGTTGTTGTTGGGGATAGCCAAGTTAGGTATATGGATAGGGCGTTCTGCTTGAAGGACAGGAGTAGGAGACAGAGAGTTTGCTTTCCTGGGGCTGGGATGGAGGATATTGTTAGCCGTCTGGATGACATCATGAGAGGTAATGGGAGCAATCCTATTATCTGTCTCAGTGCTGGAGGCAACGATGTTGGCAGACGTAGGAGTGAAGACCTGATTAGCAGGTATAGGTCAGAAATAGAAATAATTAGAGTAAGGGTGGGAACCCTGTCATATGTGGTATTTTGCCAAGGAGAGGAGTTGGAAATGAATGGTTGTCCAGGGCAATTGGTGTCAATTGCTGGCTGGACAAATACTGTAAGGAAAATGCGGTAACATTCATTGACAACTGGGACCTCTTCTATGGCAGAAATGACATGTATGCCAGGGATGGGGTTCACTTATCTAGGTCTGGGGTGGGAGCACTGGCAACTGCAGTGGAGGGAGCAGTTAGGACTTTAAACTAGGAATAGTTAGTGGTATGGGTTTTGGCAGGAAAACAGTGAAGTCCCAGTGTAGTAATTACGAGTTCTAGGGGAACTAGTAATAAGCAGAACGAGGTAGAATTGAAAAGCCAGGGACTTTGGGTGATAAGGACAGTAATAGGTTTAGTAGAAAAACAGAAATGAGCAGGAAGGGTAAAGAGAAAGGAGAGTCTTTATTTATTTATTTATTTATTTATTTATTTATTTATTTCCAATTTGTGCACACATACAGAGGTACAAAAAAAAATACAGATAAGAGCAGTATGCCAAAGCCACTTATACTATGCATAGCATTACGGGCTGGCTTAAAATTAACTTAAGATTAACTAAGCAATGATTATTATTATTATTATAATCAAAAAGAAGCGCTAAGCCACAAGGACTATACAGCGCTGCTACTAAGCAATGATGAAACAGTGATAAAACATTAATGTAAACAGATAACTATAAAGCACAAGTGAGTATTACAAAGACAGGGTCATATGGTTGCATTCAGTTAGGTAGTGATTCTGTTAGGTAGTGTATATTAAAAAAATAATAGAGTTAGATTGGGTTTTAGGTTTAACATTTATGTGATATAATTGTGAGAAACATTTAAGATATACAATTTATAATGTTCAGTTATTCAGTATTTATTTGGTTTTGGGTGAGTAAGTAATCTTGAGAAGAGACTTGAATTTATAAACAGGTTGTGTTTTTTTTTATATTTACAGGTAATGAATTCCAGATTTTAGGGCCTTTTATGTGCATTGAGTTTTTGCATAGTGTGAGATGGACACGAGGAACATCAAAGAGTGATCTGTGCCTTGTGTTATGGTCATGTGTTCTGTTGAGGTTGGCAAGGAGATGTTTGAGGGGAGGGTTAATATCAGAGTTAAGTGTTCTATGTATGTAATAGGTGCAGTAATAAGTATGGATGTTTTGTATGGTGAGTAGGTTTAGTGTATTGAATATTGGTGGAGTGTGCTGCCTGTAGTGAGAATTTGTTATCATTCTAACTGCAGCCTTTTGTTGGGTAATTAGTGGTCTGAGATGTTAATTGTTGTTGAGCCCCATGCACAAATTCCCTAGGTGAGATAGGGGTAAATAAGAGAGTGATATAGGGCCAGGAGGGCTGACTGTGGAACATAGTACCGTATCTTCGATAGTATGCCTACAGTCTTGGAAATTTTCTTAGAAATTTGATGTATATTTTGTATGAAATTTGAGTCTATTATCAAGGTGGATTCCTAAGAATTTTCCCTCTGTTAGTTTTGTGATAGGTGATCCATTTATCATTATGTTAAGGGGGACATCTGTAGCTCTGTTACCAAACTGAATGAAGTAGGTTTTGTCAATGTTTAGTGTAAGTTTGTTAGTCCTCATCCAGGTAGATATTTTTTTGTAATTCGGTATTTACAGTATTGGCTAGCGTGACTGGGCTCGGTGAGAGAAGACGTATGTAGTGTCATCTCAAATAGTGTGGGTTTGAGTAATTGCGAAGCATTTGGAAGGTCAAATTTTTGTATAGGAGAAAGAGAAGAGGGCCAAGGACACTTCCCTGTGGGACACCAACTGTAATTGGTTGTGCAGAAGAGTTTGCCCCATTTGCGTACACATATTGGCTTCTGTTGCTGAGGTAAGACTTGAGGTAGTTGAGGGAGTGCCCTCTTATACCATAGTGTGACAATTTTACGTGGAGCAAGTCATGGTCAACTGTATCAAAAGCTTTACGTAAGTCAATGAAGATCCCCAGTGGGACTTCTTTTTTCTCTATTGCAGTGTATATATGTTCTAGCAAAGTGTATAATAGCATCATTGGTATTTTTATTAGGCCTGAATCCAAATTTGGGAGGGGTTGAGTATGTTTTGGGAGATAAGGGAGGAGTAGATTCGGTTTTTTAATTTAAATTTCGAAGATTTTGAGAGAGGGTGTAAGTTGGATATGGCCTATAGTTATTCAACTCTGTTTGGTCTCCTCCTTTGTGGATCGGGGGGACCCTTGCTATTTTGAGTACTGTAGGGAAGGTGGAGGATTCAATGGATTTGTTAAAGAGTGTTGCAATGATTGGTGATAGCACTTGCGAACCTTTTTGTATATAAGGGGTGGTAAGGTATTTAAATCTCCTGCCTTTTTTTTTTAGTGCGTTGATAATAAGGGAGACTTCGTATGGTTAGTCGGGGCTAGGAACAGTGTGTTTCGGGTAGTTGCCGTGAGGTAGTCATTTGGTGGGGGATCTGAGCTTGGGATTTTATTGGCAAGGTTTTTGTCCTATAGTGGAGAAGAAATTTATTGAGTCTGTTTGCTGTTTCTGTTGGTGGGAGTTGGGGTTCATCTGTTTTTGCTAATTTTATTTCGCTATTTTCGTGATATCTTTTTTGTTCCCAGAACTTCTGATAGGTTTTCCAGTTTTTTTTTATATCACCTCGTAAGTTGGATAATCGTTCTCATAATACAATTTTTTTGCCCTTCTTATCAGGCTGGTTAGGATTGACGAGTAACGTTTTGTTTGGTCCTGGTTATGTGACCCATTCTGTACTGTTTTTCATATTGGTGTTTTGTATTTATGGATTTGAGAATGCTGGGTGTTAGCCAGGGACTGTTCAGTCTCTTTGCTGTCATCTGTTTAGTTTTTTTAGGGCAGTGCTTGTTATAGAGGTATTGGGTTTTTTTTAGAAAATTATTAATACATTCGTCAATATCTGTATAGGTTTCTAGCTCAGTGTGCCAATCAATGTTTGCTATTGCTGTTGTGAAGTTATTAATGGCTGCCTCATTGTGAAGTCTGAAGGTGACTTTAGTAGTGTCTTGGGGTAGTTTTACCAAGAGTTGTTATGAGGAAAGTAGGTATGGTCTGTGGTATTATCTGTAATTATGCCTGATTTTAAAGGGGATATGGTGTTGGTCCAGATGTGGTCAAGTAGGGAAACACTAGTCTCTGTAACTCTTGTAGGTTTTGTTACTGTTGGCAGTAACATACAGTTACTCATTGTGTTTGTGAATTCAGTAACGTGTGGGTCCTGGTCTTGCAGGAGATTTATATTGAAGTCACCTGAGAGTAGTAAGTGATCTTTGTTCATTGCGTGCATCAGTTATCATACTTCCTAGATTTTGACTAAATTGGCTAATGTTTGACTGTGGAACTCTGTAGATGTTTATCAATGTGAGAGGTTTTTGTAGGTACTTTGATTTGAATTTAGCTATTATATATTCCCCATGTTCATCCCTTGTGCAAGTATTAGTGATACATTCTAGTTGGTCTGAGTAGTATATGGCTGTGCCACCCCCTTGTTGATCTGGCCTACAGTTGTGTATGGCTGTGTAACCAGGAATGGCATAGACATCTGTACTATCAGGCTTTAGCCAGGTTTCAATGTTTATTATGCTAATTGCCGTAGTGCTAGGAATAAGATGGACGAGTTGAGATTAGTTGCTACTGCAGGTAACATTGATGTATTTGCCTTAACTGAGACGTGGTTTAATTCAAAAAGTCGGGACATGCCTGCGGAATGTCCTATTCAGGGTTTTAAATTGTTCCAAGTAGATAGAAGTATCGGGAAGGGGGGTGGGGTGGCATTGTATGTCCGAGATCGCTTGAACTGTTGCATAAAAACGGGTATTAAGTCTGAAGTAACACATACAGAGTCTGTTTGGATAGAATTTTCAGAGGGGCATGAAAAACTGATTATAGGAGTGATATACCGTCCCCCAAACTTAGATAGGGACCAAGGGAGACTACTATGGGAGGAAATTGTTAAGGCCATAAGGCACGATAATGTAGTAATTCTAGGAGACTTTAACTTTAGTCATATTGATTGGAATTTCTTGACTGGGAATTTAGAATCATACGACTTCTTAGAAGTAGTTCAGGATTGTTTTTTGAAGCAGTTTGTGACAGAACCAACAAGGGGAAATAACCTGCTTGACTTAGTTATGGCAAACAATAAAAACCCTTGTTAATAATTTAGAAATTTCAGAGGAACTGGGTGCTAGCGACCACAAATCAATTACATTTAGCATTGAATGGAAGTACGATAGTAGCGATAACTCAGTAACAGTCCCAGATTTTCGCTTAGCAGATTACGATGGGCTTAGAGAACACTTATCATCTGTTGACTGGGGTAACGAAGTGAGCTATCAATATGACAGTTTTCTGAACACTATACATGCTGCTCAAAGAACGTTTATCCCATATAAAGAAATTAGATCAAATAGAAATGACCCAAAATGGATGAATAATAGGCTCAAATATCTACTAGGGCATAAGAAAGGAATTTATAGGCGTATCAAAAGAGGTGAGGGTCATCTTATGAATCAGTATATTGACATTAAGAGGGACATTAAAAAGGGATAAGAAAAGCTAAAAGGGACCATGAAATTAAAGTTGCTAGGATTCTAAAACTAACCCAAAAAGTTTTTTCCAGGTCTATAGAACAAAAGTTAGAGATAAGATAGGTCCCCTTAAAAATACCTATGGGCACCTTACTGACAAAGATAATGAAATGTGCTCGATTTTTAATAATTATTTCTCTCAGTTTTTACACAGGAAGACACTAACAATATTCCAGTAATTAATTTTTATAGTGGGCTAGAAGAAGATAAATTATGTAACATCACAGTCACTAGTGAAATGGTTGTGAAGCAGATAGACAGACTGAAGCAAAATAAGTCGCCGGGTCCTGATGAGGTTTTTTCAAGGGTTCTTAAGGAATGCAAAATGGAACTCTGTGAACCATTAACTAATATTTTTAATTTATCTCTTCAAACAGGTGTAGTGTCTGATATGTGGAAGATGGCTAATGTAATTCCTATTTTTAAAACAGGGGACAAGTCGTTACCGTCAAATTACCGCCCAATAAGCCTGACCTCAATTGTAGGCAAATTACTAGAGTCAATTATAGCTGAGATTATAAGAAGCCATCTCGATAAGCATAGCTTGATTAATGATACTCAGCATGGATTCACAAGAGGCCGGTCTTGTCTAACTAATTTATTAACTTTCTTCAGTAAAGCTTTTGAGGCTGTTGACTACGATAAAGAATTTGATATTATTTACTTAGATTTTAGTAAGGCTTTTGATAGAGTTCCGCACCATAGACTGTTAAAGAAAGTGGCAGCTCATGGCATTGGGGGAAAAGTGCTCTCGTGGATCGAGTCATGGCTCACTGACAGGAAGCAGAGAGTGTCCATAAATGGGGTTAAATCCGAGTGGGGATCTGTAACAAGTGGCGTTCCACAGGGATCAGTCTTGGGCCCGTTGTTGTTTATAATATATATCAATGATCTTGATGAGGGAATTACTAGTGATATGAGCAAATTCGCCGATGACACAAAGATAGGTAGGATAATTGATTCAAACGTAGATGTTATGGAACTTCAGGAGGATTTAAACAAACTCTATTCTTGGTCAGAAAAGTGGCAGATGCAGTTCAATGTAGATAAATGCAAGGTTCTGAAGATTGGGAGTGCCCATAACCCTAGTACTTATAAGTTAAATGATGTAGAACTTAGCCATACAGATTGCGAAAAGGACTTGGGGGTTATGGTGAGCAGCAACCTTAAACCAAGACAGCAATGCCTAAGCGTACGTAATAAGGCAAATAGATTACAGGGATTTATATCAAGAAGTGTAAGCAACAGAAGTCCAGAGGTCATACTGCAGCTTTATACATCATTAGTAAGGCCTCACCTAGATTATGCAGCTCAGTTCTGGTCTCCATATTACAGAATGGACATAAATTCGTTAGAAAACATTCAGCGTAGGATGACTAAATTAATACATAGCATTAGAAATCTTCCTTATGAAGAAAGATTGAAGACTCTTAAGTTACATTCACTTGTTAGACGAAGAATGAGGGGAGACCTGATCGAAGTGTATAAGTGGAAGATAGGTATTAATAAAGGGGATATTAATAAGGTCTTGAGGATGTCTCTCCAAGAGAGAACCCGCAGTAATGGATTTAAATTAGATAAGTTTAGATTCAGAAAGGACATAGGAAAGTATTGGTTTGGAAATAGGGTAGTAGATGAGTGGAACAGTCTACCAGTTGGGTTATTGAGGCTGGGACTTTGGGTAGTTTCAAATTTAGGTTGGATAAGTACATGAGTGGTAGGGGTTGGATTTGAGTGGGACTTTCACATCAGAGCTTATTTCTTGGGTGGCATTGAAAATTGGGTTGGGCAAATGTTTTGTTAGTGGGATGAATTGTAAAGGACCTGCCTAGTATGGGCCAACAGGCCTCCTGCAGTGTTCCTCCTTTCTTATGTTCTTATATCGGAGAGAAGAGATAATGGAGACATTATAACGACATGAAAAAATCTAAAGAGCTGTTGACAGGACTCATCAGGAAAGACTGTTTAAATTGAGAGGACCAGGATCAAGAGGACACAGGTGAAGCAGAAAACATAATTTGCCATAGGTATGTAAGCATTTGTTTTATCTTCGAATGGTTGAAAAGTGGAATGATTTGGACGCGGCCCTGACGTAGGCAAACTCAATACACAGTAATAAATGTATACTGTATACTCCTGTATACTTCCTTAATTGTGGTTTCGGGAGTCAAGTCTCAGGTCCTGGCACACCTATTAAATATAAGCATGTGTGTGTGTGTAATATATACATATAAAATTATAAATTTTTACATCAACATTAATGAAAAAAAAAATATCTTTAAACGTAAAAGAGAAAATTTTAGAAAGGACTTAATTTTAAATGAGTTCTGGCTAATTGACCAGTTTTACATATTCGGCACGATATATATATATATATATATATATATATATATATATATATATATATATATATATATATATATATATATATATATAATATATATATTTACAAATCACAGTAAACAGGTGATATCACAATATGCAGAACAACCACTGTATTATGTATTTTGTGAAGCGCTAAACTACAGTGAGTCATTCAGTGTATTTATCCTTAAAACTGTACTAGGTGTCAGTTTACACCACTTCCTGGTCCAGGTCATTTCACTTCGTGGCCATCATAACACTGGTTATTACCTGACGTCCCTGTGGCTCATTGCTGTTTTTCCTTACTTTTATGCCTCGCTATCCCTCATTTCCGCCTTTTAAGCAGCCTTCCCTTGTCTTAACTCCGAAATTCACCGAGTTTCATGTACGCTGTTATCATACCTTTCTTATTCCTTCTATTCTCTACGATTCTCTAAGATTCAGTTCTATCAGTGTTTCCTCGTGCGTCAGTTTCCAGCTCCGAGACCATCTTGTTGCAAACCTCAGAACATTCTCTAGCATCTGTGTTTGACCAGTTGTGCACTTTAGGCTGGGGCGTCATGATCTATAAGAGAACTGACGTACAGGGCATTCAGTCATAGCCGAAAAATTAAAATAAACATGCCTAAAGGGGTGTGTGTGTGTAGGGTAAGAGGAATCAGCACTCACCTTGAAAACACACATGCGGGTGGACCTGAACCAGGTGCCGAGCTCCGGCACAATGAAACAGAAAAAGAGCATCCAGGCCCATGCCACGTTCTCCTCCTCAGGCAGCGTAGCGATGTAGTCCTTCTCGTTGGCTGTGGACGAAATGAACACGTTAAAATGGCTTAGTTGTGAGTCCCATTTATCAACTTGACGGTTTTTCTAAATTATTTATTCACACCCACAACAAACAACACAGGATGAGACGCAATAATAAGTCACGTGGCCAATTAAAGACACAAACGCGTGTAGTAGTTTATCTGGAGTTTATCTGGAGAGAGTTCCGGGGGTCAACGCCCCCGCGGCCCGGTCTGTGACCAGGCCTCCTTAGGTCAGTGTCCCAGGATGCGACCCACACCAGTCGACTAACACCCAGGTACCCATTTTACTGATGGGGAACATAGACAACAGGTGGAAAGAAACACGTCCAATGTTTCTACTCTGGCTGGGAATCGAACCCAGACCCTCGCCGTGTGAAGCGAGAGCGTTAACCACCAGGCCACCAGAACAAGTAGAACAAGTTTTGACTGGGACGATGTTTCGCTCGACGTAGAGCGTTTCTCAATTCATGACTTGAAAAAAGATTCCCCATAGAACGAAATGTTATGCCACTAAACTCATCATCTACTCCATGTTTCTATGCCATCATTCCTGTCAGCAGTACGACCTTCAACACAGTCATTCTGATATTAAACAGCCGATGACGTAAACAAAATAATGAAACAAGGGAATGGGGGGGGAGGAAACGAAGACAAAAAAAAGTAAAACAGAAGAAATAGAAAAATAAACGAAACATTTGGAATAAAACATTAAGAAACTCATAGAGGAAACTCATAGAGGTTCTGTTGCTATACAATTATGACGAAAGAAATGGCAGAAAACTTTTCCTGCCAGAAGCAATTCATCCATCTAAAATAAGCATCCACAATAAGTACAATAAGTACACAAAAAAAAAGAATAACTCGTCAAGCATAGGGGGTCCAAGACTTTTCAACTCCCTCTCATTAGTTATGAGGGAAATTTCCAGCTGACTTCTAACTGACATTTAAATTCAGTAGATTTCTTTATTAAAGACGTTCCGAAACTGCGTGGAAGCTCAGTCCGAAACTGTGCTGAGGGAGCGAGGATCATTGAAACCATCAGTAGGTAAACTGGAGGTAGATGCCACTTGTGGTGGTGATGGTGGGGGATGGTGATGGTGGGGGATGGTGATGGTGGGGGTGATGTTGCTGGGGGTGGTGTTGGTGGGGGTGGTGATGGTGGGGTGGTGTTGGTGGGTGGTGTTGGTGGTGTGGTGTTGGGGGGTGTTGATAGTAGGGGTGGTAAGAGTGGTGGTGGCGGTGATATTAATAGTAGTGGTTGGTGGTGGTGGTAATGCTTATGGTGGTGTTAACGGTTTTGGTGCTGGTGCTAATTGTGGTGGTTGGGGGAAAGGGTGGTGGTGGTGATCGTTGTAGTGCTACTAATGGTGGTGATGGCGTTGGATATCGCGCACACACACACACACACACACACACACACACACACACACACACACACACACACACACACACACACACACACACACACACAGAAGCTAAATGCTGTATTTTTTCCCTCTGATGCGGCAATTTGTGAGGAGTGTAAATAGGACTTGCACCCACGTGACCCAGTTGTCTCATTTTACCAATGTTGGTGTCAACCAGTGACTTCAGCCACCACCACCAGTGTTGGTGTCAACCAGTTACCTCATTCACTATCACCAGTGTTGGTGTCAACCAGTGACTTCAGCCACCACCGCCAGTGTTGGTGTCAACCAGTTACCTCAGTCACTATCACCAGTGTTGGTGTTAACCAATGACCTCAGCCACCACCGTCAGTGCTGGTGTCAGCCAGTGACCTCAGCCACCACCATCAATGCTGGTATCAGCAGGTTATCTCACCCACCACTACCAATGTCGGAGTCAGCCAGTGACCTCATTCACCACCACCAGTATTAGTGTCAGCAAGTGACCTCAGTCACCACCACCAGTGGTGATATCAGTAACTGTCTTGAGTCACCATTCTAGATTCCACCAAACAGTTGTAACCTCACGCGAGAACCAGATTTCAAGCAATTAGCTACGTGCGAACCAGGAGATTTCAACGCCTCGTAAGTAATCGTCCAACTCACCCTCAAGACCTAGCATTAGTGTGGTTAATGGGGTTTAACCTGTAAACGGTCCAAGTAGATCTACGTTCACATGTGTAGTGCTACAAAAGTAGATCTTCGTGTTTTTTACATATTTTCAAATGTAACAAAAAAAGTAGATCAAAGTTTTTTTTACACATTTTCAAATGTAAAAAAAACAAAAAGAAGATCTACTTTTTTTACATACTTTCAGATGTTGAAAAAACGTATATATACGTTTGGACCGTTTACGGGTTAAAGACTATCGACTACGCGAGAATCATGAAGGATGCATGCAACTTCTCAGCCACTAGTTAAGAATATTTTTATCCCGAAATTAGGAATTAAAGCAAATTCTTAAATGCAACTATCTCTGCCTATTTCTATTTCTTAACCTCAGGTAACTATCTCACGAAATTGAACACAGTACCTCCTCGGTATTTGGTCTCACAAGGAGCATAACTGGTCAGACACCATGCGTCGATTATTAGATGGAGGATCGAGCCTGCACTGCTCTTTGTGCTTAATGACTCTCATGGGTTTAGCGCCTCGTGGGATACAACGAGAGCTCGACATTTATACGATATTACACAATATGTGAAGGGCATGGTGAAGGGCTGGCTGCTCCTCACTAAGGTGACCTTAGCCAGGGAAATAAGGTAGCAGGTTGGAGGCGTGTGTGTGCGTTTCTCTATGACCACACCCTTCCCCCCCCCTCTAAGTGTGGGTTTGTAGTTCCCAACGTGAACGCCCTCCCCTACCATGTGTAGGTGTTTATCTCCCACGCCCAAGCGCCCTCCTTCAGTAAGAGTGGATGTGCAGCTCCCACACCCAAGCCTACCCACCCTTCCCCACCAGATGCGGGCGTGCAGCTCCCACCGTCCACACCCTCAAGCAGCTGAGTCAATGACAGCTTCTCGCATCTGGCGACTTAGCAGCTTCAATAAGTGTCACGACTACCATAGGCCAATATGCCTGCTGCAGTGTTCCTTGTGTATTAAAAAAAACGGTACAGGCGGAGATTCACTGCCCCGATACCAGCTTCCCAATGCCAGCTTCACCAATACAATATATCAGCTTTCCCAGTACCAGCTTCCTCAATGCCAGCTAATACGTACTGGACTACTCTACCACACAGCTCTCACTGGGTGGAGGTGGAGCAGACCAAAGCGTAGTGTTAGGAGTGGGAAGGTTTTGGGGTTAGGGACTGGGTACTGGTAGATTGAATATGGAGCGGTTAGAATGATAATAGTTTTAGAGCGAGATTTGGAGGGATTAGAAAAAGGGGCAGTGCAGTACGGAAGATGGCTGCCAATGTAATAGGTCTGGAGACTACTCACACCAGCTCTACGGGTGGAGTGGAGCAGACCAAAGCGTAGGTGTAGGAGTGGGGAAGTTTTGGGGTTGGGAGGGAACTGGTAGAGTGATATGGAGCGGTTAGGAGTAGAATGTGTTGTGGCGCGAGATTTGGAGGGATGTTGGAGGGAAGAGGGCAGTGAGTAGGTGGAGGAATGGTGGCGGTGGCGGCATGTTAGGGGTTGGAGGAATGGTGGGGGTGGCGGCATGTTAGGGGTTGGAGGAATGGTGGGGGTGGCGGCATGTTAGGGGTTGGAAGAATGGTGGGGGTGGCGGCATGTTAGGGGGTGAAGGTATGGTGGGGGGGGTCATGCTACGGGGGTGGCGGTACGAAAGTGAAAGTGTTCCTGTGTGTAGTCTACCCTACAAGACTTGTCGTTTTCAACACCCCGACCAGTGAAGCGTCGTGTCCCACTAGTAATAACGGTGTGCAGTGGATTTGGCACAGCGGACGCACGCTCAAACCACAGGAGAAGAGCATTACGCATAATGCGATGCACTTGCCTAGTTGTATTTGAGAGGGTCGAAACGTAGCCTCGCTACCGACTCTACGTTTATAATATATAATTTAGAAGCTGTAAATAGAATTTACTTTAAATACATCTTCCAGGTCGTTCTCCTTCACCACTCTGAGAGACTGAAAAGGTACTCACTAACATCCCTGTCACTCTGTGGTTTCAGCTTGTATCTCTGCCCCTGTTCAAGCTACTTTCTTGTAAACATCATCTAGTCCACGCCGTCAGTGCTTAAAGGAACCTGCTATATGTGTACGTAAATAAAAAATAGAACGTTATCTATGCATTTAAATGTCTTAAGGAGATTTAAAGTTTTTTCTGTTTGCTATGAACTTTTTAAGTTCAATCATCACTTCATACTAAAGTCAAGAACCTGTGTGTGTGTGTGTGTGCGTGTGTGTGTGTGTGTGTGTGTGTGTGTGGTGTTGTGTGTTGTGTGGCGTGTGTGTGCGCGTGTGTGTGTGTCGTGTGTGTGTGTGTGTGTGTGTGTGTGGTGTGTGTGTGTGTGTGTGTGTGTGTGCGTGTGTGTGTGTCTGTGTGTGCGTGTGCGTGTGTCGTGTGTGTGTTGGGTGTGTGTGTGTGTGTGTGTGTGTGTGTGTGTGTGTGTGTGTGTGTGGTGTGTGTGTTGTGTGTGTGTGTGTGTTGTGTGTGTGTGCTGTGTGTGTCTGTGTGTGTGTCTGTGTGTGTGTCTGTGTGTGTGTGTTGTGTGTGTGTGTGTGTGTGTGTGTGTGTGTGTGTGTGTGTGTGTGTGTGTGTGTGTGTGGGTGTGTGTGCACACGACCTTTGCTCTCCCTGATACTACTTGCAGCCTCATTCTCTTACTCTCCTCTTCTTCCCCTCCAATCTTCATCCTACCTTCCCTTCCTTCCGTCCTTTCCCCTCTCTCATTCTTTCTACCTCCTTCCTTCGGTATTCCATCTCGGCAGAGAATCTAACAAAATGAATGGTAAAGCACTCTCTTTCTCTCTCTCTCTCTGATCTCTTTTCCCCATCTCTCACACCTTCCATCTCTTTATCCATCTTTCCCGAAAAACGGAGATAATCTTTCCTTTGCATGTTAATCCTACACCCTCCT